TTGCGGTGCAAGGCTGAGGGGTTTAACATGAGAAACTGCAGCATGCCATAAAATCCCAAAAGACGCCACAAGAACCCTACAAGAAGCTACAACGAACCTTAAGCCGAATACCCACACCCTGAACCCTGAAGCCCAGAACCCCAAAATACCAAAAGTCCCCCTCCCCCAAGCCCTCTACTTAGGCGCTCAGTACCTTAACCCCAAACCCCAAACCCTAAACCCTAAATCAAGCAGAGTAGGGATTATGAAAGCCCCAAAAAGGTTTAAGGTTTTACCTACTCAGCCCCTCAGTCGAAGGCGCTGGGCGACCGCTGGCGTCGGTACCCACCTAGGATTTGAAGCTGCAAAGGCTTCTTAGGGTTTAGGGCTTAGGGTTTAGGGCTTAGGGTTTAGGGTTTAGGGCTTAGGGTGTAGGGTTTAAGAAAGTTTAGGTTTTCGGCTGCCTGCTCAGGATACATACATGCATGGACCGCATGGACGTTCAAGCTCCTAAACCATAACCGAAAATCCTGACCCGAACCCCTACCAGGCAAACCTTGACATGCGGCCCAGAGTTTCGGGTCTGTTCAAGAACACAAAAAGCTTGACAAGGTTCTATCAGGCGTATTGTTGGGTATTGTAAAAACCTACTTAGAACTGCAAGGTGCCCGGGTTAGTTGAGAGACATTGCAACAAAATATGCGAAAGGCAGTTGGGGATTAATTGGGAAATCCTGGCAAAACCTGCATGCATGCAACTTCTATATACTAGACATGCATGTAAGCACTATAGCTACCATACACCACCGCTAGACCCTGTACGTACAGTCGTCCGTCCACAACTCCCAAGAACCCGAATAAAACAGTACGATGGAACCCCCTGAGCCGAAGACGACGTTGGTGCCCAATTCCCCCATAAATCCGAGCCGAAACCCTAAACCCTGAACCTGAGGCCGTGGCCATACGCATGTTGTGGCTGTGAGGCGACTGTGCACAGGCCGAGCACTCGACCTCAGCCGGACGCGTCTGCTGCCGCCACCTGGGCGCAAGGGGTTTAGGAGTGTGGGTAATGCACCTTCAACCCTAAAGATATCCTAAAGTGAGGGTTGAGCATCAAAGTTTAGGGCGTAGAGTTCAGAGGGGCCTAAACCTTTGAAGCCCTATTTCGTCAACTAGTTCGTCCGGACGGCTTGAGTGTGGCGGCCAGCGCACCGGCAGCACTTTGAACATCGCCATTGCAGGCCCGTAAATAGCCTTTCGGGTCCAGGACGGGTATACTTGTTCTAGGGTTTACAATATCCCCCACCAGTAGGCTAGGTTGGGCTCTTTTGTTTTATTCTGGATCCCCACCAGAAAAAGGGTGCAGAATTTCTGTGGAAATTAATGTTTTGCGTCTGTGGTAACTTTTTGGGCATAGAGGGGATTCAGCGCTTGCGAAGCGCCGGCCACACCTCTATTAGAGACTGTTGCTGTATGGGGGCAGTATCCTACCAATCCTGCTCCAGGGTACCTTTTCTGCGAAGGCTTTCTCATACACTCTAAAACCCTCTCCTAATTAAGTAAGGTCCCTATAGTCGGAGTCGGGTTTATGGAACCCTTTGAGGGAGTCTGCAGGTTTGGGCTCTGAGGGCCTGGGCCACTCCACCGTGGCTCCCGAATTTCATTTTTGGGGTCTTCAGAAACAGAATAGAGCTCTGGGGTATGTTATACTAGGTTTTTCGAGGATGTTTTGTTCCGGAGGCTTGCCATTTAAGGCATCCAGTTGAACAAACTTCGGTCCTTCCCAGCGGCCCGTGATTGTGGCAAAACCCGGTTTACCAGTTGGTCAGTTAGCTGAAAGCAGACACAGTAAATGGTTACACTACACATATGAGACTCTTTCTGTAACTGGCACGTCTTAACTGGGTCGGACAAAACATGCCATCGTCAATCTTCTGTGTCTCAGTTCACGATCGTGCTCCGACATCGTTCACAAGCCACCGCACCCGTGCACCCAATAAGCAACAAAAGCTTTGGCCTTACACCCCAAACCCTAAACCCTAAAGATCTGTTAAAAATCTCTCCGAAGTCAAGTTTCGCTTCACGCATGCATCGTCCGCAAACGCTGCGCAGGAGTCCTGCTCAAGTCATGCAAGTGATGCTAGTCTACTTACATAGGCGCTCTCTTTCTCTCTCCTTCTCTCCTGCTCCTAGCATTGCATTGCAGTTAGGAAGAGAGTCGTGATGGTGCAAATTGAGTAACTACTCTTTCATGACAGTCTGTATGAACCTGCTTCGGGCCCTGGCATGCACATGTCCCTGAAAGGCTGCTCTCCATGAAACACGACACAAGCTTTCTACCTCCACGGAAACAGCTGCATTCCCATACCGACTGCAATCTGTTAGGCTGAATTGCATTATTGCTGTAAGCATGCTTCATAAAAATCGTCGTCCTCCCAGTCCTCCTCCTGCTGTTGCTGCACAATACAGTTCAAATATACGCTCCTCAAGGCGGGTATATGATCCCATGATTAGCAGTATCCATGTATACGCATCTGTGCGGGTGGATGTTTTCATTGGCACTGCTGTTGTCCGTAGTATACTACCATTCTGTAATGTTGGACCTTGATAATTAAAGCCGGAGCATGCTATACGATATTTATACATGGGACCGCTGCGCCTCTACTGACCCCAGCTGCGCACGCACCCGGCGAACGGCCAGGTCCGTAGTAGACATGGCTGAAGGCTTGTGGTGAAGCGTCAGGGTGGGTGGTGGGCACCCCAAAACCATCCTTGTCTGGTATCTACGGCCATTGATGGCGCAAGTCAAGGAAACCTAAAACCTCAATCTCCTAAGTAAACCTAAACCCTACAACTGCTCCCTGAGTTGTCGACCCCATGTGTGGATCTAAACTCGGCTCCAAGCCAGGATGGCTTAAGGCAGGCGCTTGAATGCAAAAACATCTTAAATCCGAAGTCCCACACGTCTCGTCTGACCCTGAAAAGCCCTACCCTCCAAAAGGGATGAGATACATAGGGATGCATTACGTTACATTGCATTACATGAGATGACATGGCATGGCATTACATACAGGCATACATACACCTATATGCATGTGACACACAGCTGTTGGTATGACTGTTGGTCGGGTCGGTATACAGATATATGTGTGTATATATATATATGAACAAATGTATGCATGTAGGTTGAGAAAGCTGTATGTACACAAAAGCATGTATGTATGTATGTATGTATGTATGTATGCATGCATGCATGTATGTATGTATGTATGTATGTATGTATATGTATATAGAGAGAGAGAGAGACCTGCACAAGCATACAAACATACGTACAGACCTACCTGCCTACCTACCTACCTACCTACCTGTTTACTTACCTGCCTGCATACATACACACATAGACACATACGCGCATACATACATGCATACATACATGCATACATACATACATACATACATACATACATACATACATACAAGTGCAAAATGTGACATATGCATATACAAGGGCGCATATGTATTAAATACATACACACCCACAGACTTTGTTTCGTGGAGCAGATCTTGGATGACGCTGGGGCCTCCCTTGGAAAATGGCGTCGCTGCCGGGAGAGGCTGAGACTAAGGAAACGGTACAAGCCTTCCCTCGACCTTACCAGCCTAACCCAGAGAGCCCAATGTACCCCTTAAATAAGGAATATATACCCTTAAATTATACGGGCCTTAACGTTATGGTTTAAGGTATATATTCCTTAATTAAGGGGCCCCTTGGGCTCTCTGGGAACCGCCCCAGAAACTCTGTAGCCTCCACCCCCCGAATTTTGGTATCCTCCAAGGAACTAAGCCCCTTAGGGTTTAGGGTTTAGGAGCAGAAGCCACGAGTTGCTTTATGCTTCTCTCTCGCAGGGATCTGCTATGGTCTGCTCGACGCGTTTCTGCCCCTTCTCTTGAGTGCCCTGTTTCATCAAACACCGTTCGCTTTTTGCCAGATTAGGCTTCAGCAAATCTTCTAAATTTGCTCATTGTGCCTTGCAAAGCTGGCTTTGGAGTGGTTTCGGGTTTTGGGGGTCTTGGATTTGGTGTTGTCATGTTCTCGGTTCGGGGATGGAGGCTTCGAGGCTTTAAGTTTGCAAGCCCCTCTTAGTCTTCTAGGTGTCTCCCCTAGTCCTCGACCAGACATCTTACAGGATCCTAAGACTAGAGCCTTGAACAAGTGCACGATCCTTCCCCATACCACAGATAGCTGCTGGGTGGAGACATCAAAAGATGCACGGGAAGGCGGGCCTCCGGCAGGGACAAAAAAGGGAGATCCCGGCTGTGCCTACGACCACGGAAGGCCTCAAAAAACAATCCAAAAACTCCACAGTGGCTATAGACTATAGAGCGTGGAGTACCATCATCTGACGATAAGCTGGCCCAGAGAGCCCAATATACCCCTTAAATAAGGAATATATACCCTTAAATTATATAGGGGCCTTACAATAGTATGATTTAAGGTCTATTCCTTCATTAAGGGGTCTCCCTTGGGCTCTCTGGAGCCGATTGAGGGATTGCGGTGACTCTGGAACTGGGGTCTTGCGCTCCATCGGCGCGGCCGCGGAGTGCCCGCCACTCCGGCAAGGTGATGCAACCAACGTCCAGACGAAGCTGTGGAGCCCCTGAGAGGTTTCATGCATTTATAGGGGTTTAGGGGTTTAGGGGTTTATGCTTCACGGGGTGCTTTTGGGCCAGGGAACGGGCTATGGTGTTTCATCGGTCACACTCGGATTCTTCACCACGGAACAGCTTTTTTTGGGATGGCGCTGCTCCAAGTCATTGCATGGACACCAGAGTACTTACCAGGTGTTGCTTTTCGAGTACCCTGTAGGGCTCATGACCCTAAACCCTAAACCCTGAACCCAAAACCCTAACCACCCCTGTATCCAAAAAACGGATCCAGCGGAGCCTGCAGCGGCAGGCGCAGGCTCCGGCCCAACAGTCCGGGCCCAGGAGCTGGAGCAGCGGTGGTGGATCTGCTCGTGCTCAGCTTGGCCGCTCCTCCGGCGGCGTTTTTGGGTCCCCTCCACGTAAAGGGGACCAAGGGCGAGGCCGCTGTAGGATGCCGTGGAGGCCCTGGCGCGCGGCAGCGCAACACAGGCGGTTGTCGTTGGCGGCATCCTGCAAGGCAGGGGGCTTTAGGGGACGGGGGTCGTGGTCGCCGCAGTGGCCGATGTTAAAACAGTACGTCGTCGTTCATGCAAGGTTGCACTCCTGCTGACGCTGGCGCCGCTGCTTGCATGCTGGCTGGGGTCCCTTGTTCTCAAACCATCCCTGCCTAAGCCTTCCTCGGCTGCAGGGAACGAACCTTCTCCAACTCGCCAAAGAAAAGTAGGGAATACTGCCACTTGGACCCCTGCTCGCAGGCGCTGATGGCCAAGTTGTAGAGAGCAGCATCAGGCTCCCAACGCTGGAGATTCACCTCCTGAAGCAGCTTAAGGACATGCTGCCAGCGCCCTCGCTGCTCACAGGCGGCGGCAGCGGCGGAGTAGCAGATCAAGTTGCCGGAGATCTTCCTGGAGCCCATTTCTCGCAAATATTGGAGGGCCTCCTCCCAGAGCCCAGCCATGCCACAGGCGTTGATGGCAGCTGTGTAAGAAACGACGCCTTTCTTTAGAGACTGCCCTTCCATGGAAGCCAAAAGTTCCAGGGTGCTTTGCCACTGTCCACCATTCGTGCAAGCAGCCATGGCTGTGCTGCAAGTCTTGGCATCCACGGCCAGGCTTGCCTTCTCCTTGCTGGTCTCGAGACTTAAATCTTGGGTCTCTTCAGGCTGACAATGTCTGACATACACAATACCAATGTTTCATAGCTATAGCTCTTTGGATGAAGTTCTTGCTTAGCTGATGGCTGAACACCCTAACTAAACACCCTCAATCCTAGACTCCTAAACATTAAAACCCTCTGCCGAAGGCCTAAACCCCGAAACCGGCAGAGGAGAGCCTCCACCCTTTAGGGTTTAGGGTTTAGGGCTTTAGGGGTTTAGGGCTTTAGGGGTTTAGGGCTTTAGGGGTTTAGGGTTTAGGGTTTTCCCTTTAAAAAACTCCGAGGTTCCAGGTCCCAGAACAGGCCGAGCGCGCGAGACCACTGCCCACCCTTCCTTGGTCAAAACCGAAGTGGCTCTAATAAGGAATATATACCTCAAAATATAGGGGCCTTAAGATTATGATTTAAGGCATATTCTTCAATTAAGGGGTATTGGGCTCCCTGGGTTCATGGTTTTTTAGGGCATGAGGGTTAGGGTCAAAGGCTTCGGCTTCTTGGATCGGGGCTTTTGACGTTGGAGCTCCTGGTTCGAGGGGGTTTCCAATGAAGCCATCAAAGCTGAAGGCCCACTGGGCACCATGCCAGCTCCAGAATCTAGAGCAGGAACACCCATATCAAAACAAGAGCCCTGAACCTCATTCAAGGATAGATATATATATATATACATTGATTTATTTATATTTATTTATTTAGTTTCCGAAGCCACGAGCCCTAAACCCCATGCAACCCCCCCTTTAAGTGAAGCCCCAGCTGCTCGCAGGCGCTCATGGCGACGCCATAAGTCACGGCATCCGCCGGCAGCGCACGGCTCAGGCACCTCGGATCTTGGGGCTTGGGGATCCTGCTTTGGCAGGGCTCAGGGCTTATAGGGTTTAGGGTTCAGGGTGCAGGGTTTAGGGTTTAGGGCTTAGGGCTTTGGGTTTAGGGGTTTAGGGGTTTAGGGGTTTAGGGTTTAGGGTTTAGGGTTCAGGATTTAGGGTTCAGGGTGGTGTCGTTGAGGGCTCATGGTTTCGGATCTGCTCACGCGTCTGCAGGTTCCGTGGACCCATGATAGAGTCGTGTCGTTCACAAGGCTTTCAGTATTGGAATCCTGAAATCTCGGAACCTCGAAGTCCAAAGGCTTTAATAAACAGAAAGAATGCCCAATGAGAACTTAGTACGAGTTGATTTATGTAACAGTCCAACTAGGGTCTATGTTGAATAAGAATAGATTGTTAAGTACCCAGAGGGCTCAATACCCCTCAGTTAAGGAATATACCTTAAATCATAACATTAAGACCCCTATAGCTCATATTCCTTAATTAAGGGGGTAGTGGGCTCTCTGGGTATTCCGACCCCGGTATTGTCTGGGACCCGCGCCTGGCAAGGAGTAGAAGAGCGACTTGCCACTGGCCGCTTGACACGCAGGATCTCCTTTGGGCTTGGGATTGCTCTTAAGGGTTCTCTATAAAGGGCCTAGGATTATTCAAAGGGCAGCTGCAAGTGCCCTACAATGGGTTGAGGGCGTGGCGTCTGGGGCTTCTTAGTTCGGCTGTTGTTTTTCGAGGTGCATGAACTTTCTAAAGCCCAAAATCGCATGGGCTCAAGGATTTGGGGCCTGCCGTTGGGGATTCAGTGCCCAGCCTTTCAGGCGTTCGTGAGTTCGCATGTGCGTGGGGCTTCGGCGCTCGGGCACAGGGATTGCAGATTTGGGATTTTAGGGTTTAAGGTTTAGGGTTCAGGGTGCTTGCCTGCAGCACGCGAGGTTCCGAGACACCACACCAGACGAGGTATTACATTACACCAGTTGTGAAGGTAGCTGGAAGAAAACCGACAAGATAATTAGTAAAACTTCAGCACGGGCCCTGACATTCAAAAAGAATTCCCCGGCGAAAAAGCCTCCCGAAAAGGAGGGGACACATCCGCAAGGGGAAGACTACAAGTCGACTACAACTGACGTCCTAATCAGTAAACACCCCAAATCAACCTGCTCTTTACCATTCGGCACGCCGCACCTTGAAATCACCTCGTGCCGGACTGGCTGGACACTAAACCCCCGAACAAAGATTCGAAGCAGAATGCCTTCAGGCCCTCAAACGCATACATCCATACATCTTTCCGACCCAGGCGCATGGCCGAATTGTAGGTGATCACGCTGCTGCGCAAGTCTTTCTCCACCGACACTAGCAAGGAGAGGGCCACCTGCCAAAGATCGCCACCTGCCAGCGAAGTTAGAGTGAGCCGAAGGCTAAGCAGCACAGCCCTGCATCAACCCAAATTGGCTTTGCAGCTCCTCTGCCATGAGCTACAAGAGAAACCTGTTCTGCAGCATCCGGGTTGCTAAACCGCAGCACCAAACTCTAACGTAATGCATGAGGCGCTTTCAAGGTCGCAGCTGACGGTCGTCACTAACAGCAACATCATCATGGACATCATCATCCCTGTCATCACCGCCATTAGCATCATCAGCATCATCACCACCATGAATGACCTTCAACACCATAATCCGTGTCATCATGATCATAATTGTCATAATCAGTACCAGCGGCTTCAGCAGCAGCAACGTCATCATGACTGTCACCATTGTCACCAGCCCCATGACAATCGGCATCACCATCACCATCATCAACATCAACATCAACATCACCATCATCCTCATCATCATCATCATCAGCACCATCATCGACATCATCATCGCCATCATCATCATCATCATCATCATGCTCAGCTGCTGACAGTACTAAGTACTATATTCCATAACCATCATAACGACAGCATTTTGCGGGGCATTGCTGTGGGGGAAAGCCGCCTGCTGCTGCGCGGATGGCCACGTTGTAGGCGAGCACGTCGGCCTGCAGGTCCTCACCCTGCAGCTCCTGCTTTGGGAGTTTAGCAGGGGCCTTTAGGGGCTTCAAAAAAAAAAAGTAAAAATAATAATAATAACAATAACAACAACAATAATAATAATAGTAATGATGATGATAATAATAATAATAGGGGAGTTTGGGGGCTGCTTTAGAGTATGAGTAGTCCCAAGAATAATGCTGGTAATTAGTTAGGCCTCTCTATTAGGGTCTGGGAGTTTCGGGTTCAGGGGTTTTAGGTGTCGGACGTCGGGTCTAGGGCCCTGGGGTTTAGAGATTGAGGTTGAGGGTGCTGCCGCGGTTGCTGCTGGTGCTGGGATACTCCGAAGAATGAAAGAATGCGACATCGAAGTACAATCAAAAGCTGGCGCAAAGTCACTGCAAACGGCTCGTCATCTGACATGTGATGCGGAACTCGAGATCGAACGCCGCCAAGCAAACTTGGCCGAGGACAGCTTCATTGGCCATGCAACTTCAAAGCCCAGATCACCAAGCAGTACTTAATCCCTAAACCCTAAACCCTAACCCCTAAACCCCTAAACCCTAAACCCTTAATCATCACCGTTTTTCTGCAGCCCTTCCGTCAACCTGAGCTTTATCACGATGGACTTCATCTTCTTTAAGCGCGCGGCGCAAGAACAACCACAACAATCACGGTTTAGAGTTTACGGTTTAGGGTTTAGGGTTTAGAGTTTAGGGACCATCGCCACAACGACCACGACACGACAAAAACAAGGCTCAGAGCAAGAACTTAGGATCCTCATCGCCCGCACCATAGCCGCTACCAGCACCACCCAAATCGTAACAGCTATCACCACTGCAAAAAAGCTCTTTTCAGCTCATGCGCATCATCACCATCATCATCATCACCGTCACCATCATCATTATCACCATCAACATCAAAATCACCATCAACATCATCATCATCATCATTATCATCATCACCATCATCATCACCATCATCTTCATCATCATCGTAATCATCTCATCCCTAGTCCCCGCTCCTCCAGAAGCCCCATGGCCCGAGCCCAAAACTCCGAGGTCTCGCACGCCGCGGCCGCAGCCGTGCGGGCGGCCAGGTCTAGCGGCAGGCCTTGGCACTGCTGTGGCTTTGACTCGCCTGGCTTACGGTTTTGGGTTGAAGGGCTTAGGGGTTTAGGGTTTAGGGTTTAGGGGCTTAGGAGGGATCAGGGTTTAGGGGGTTTAGGGGTTCAGGGGGTGGTGCGAGGAGTAGGGTTTTAATGGGTTCAAGGTTCAAGGGTGAATAGTGCTTAGGGGGTGTAGGTAGGGTTGTTTTTTGGTTCCGTGCCTGTTTGCTCCAGATCTTCGAAGACCAGAGCAGCCTCCTGCCACTGGCTGCTGGTTCCACAGGCGCTGAGCACGGCGGTGTAGGTGTCAATGCCCACGAAACGCGCCTCATCGCTCTACTCTACCTATCAACACGCAAAAGTAACTGGTTCCCTGTTGGGGCCATATTAAAAATGATCATTTTTAGTCCTTATTAGGGTTTTATTATAACAAAAATGTAAATTTGTATCCAACAAGGACCCAGGTAAGCTGTCCCTACTCCGATTACTGTAGGACATCCCCAGAAGCCAGTCTCATGCGGTAAGAGCCCCTCCGCTCTGGTGCGCCGGATAGTGAGGCGTGCTTGTCTACTTTCGGTTCGGAGAAAATTCTCAAAAGAACCGTCGCAGGTAAACTGACGACCTAAGACCTAAGTCTTAACATCGCTCACGACGCCCTGATTCTTAAACTACCGTCGTTCGACCGACAAGGATTCGGTCATTGAGATAACTATCCTGTAATGTAAATTGAGGTCGTCTGCAAAATCGCAGAGGACCAGCTGGACTTACAGGTTTTGGATCGGTTCTACGTGTATGTCAATATCTCTACCCGTCGTAAGCCTATGCCTGTGCTACGAAGCCGCACTGAACCTTCGCCCATGCCGAGGCAAGAAAGCCCCTTATAAAATCCTTAAAACATGCTCCCCATGTCTTAAACCCTAAACCCTAAACCCTAAACCGACGGAAGCTTCGGGAGCCTGCTGCAGCTCGGAAAGCAGCGCCAGCGAATGGCTCCACTGCCCCGCCCGGCCACACGCCACAATCGCGGCATTGGTGGCCGCAACTCGCCCCTGCAAGTCTGCAATGGATTTAGACCCGGGTTTAGGGTTTAGGGTTTAGGGCTTGGGGTCCCTAAACCCTAAACCCTAAACGGAAACACCGGGGGCTTTTGTTTTTGGGCCGGACCTCCGTCCCGACTTCAGCAAGCACAGACAGCCCCTGCTGCCAGAAACCACCCAAGGCACAGGCTCGCACTAAGACGGCTCGTGTCGCGTCGTTGCTGCGCAGCTGCCGCTGCTCCATGGTGTCGGACAGCACCAAAGCCACCTGTCGGAGTTCAACGAGGAAGGCGATCCGCATGTGGACCCTACAAATGACAGGATCCCCAGTTGAAGGGCCCCTGCATGAACATGGATAACCATAAACCGCAACCGAAGTAACTGCAACAGCAGTAGAGCCATAATAGCGATAGCCCTAACCTACCTAAAACAACAATCCCCTAAAACCCTATAAACCCTAACCCTCAACCCTGAACCCTAAACCCTAAACCCTAATCCCTAAACCCTAAACCCTGATCCCTAAACCCTATAAACCCTATAAGCTCTATAAACCCTGACACGTTTTCTGAAGGCCCCCGCACCTCCCAGCGTCCGGCCGAGACGCAGGCCTCCATGGCCGCCGCAAAAGCTCCCGAGGCCGCGGCTTTGCCGCCTTTTTCGGCTTGGTGGAGAAGCTGGAGAGTCGCCTCAGGGTTTTATACGGGTCTATAGGGCTTCTAGACCTTAGAGGGCTTGTAGGGTTTAGGGTTTATAGGGTTTATAGGGCTTATAGGGTTTGTAGGGTTTAAGGTTTATAGGGCTTATAAGGCTTATAGGGTTCGGGGTTTATAGGGCTTATGGGGTTTAATGGGGTTTAATGAGGTTTAAAGTTTAGGGTTCAGGGTTTGGGGTTCAGGGTTTAGGGTTGATTTGGGCTTCAGGGCTCTATGGGGCTTTGTTTGGGGTGGTAGTAGGGTTTATTGAGGGTTCTTTGGGGCTTTTGCTATGGTTTGGAGTTTATGGTGTTTTCAGTTCTAAAGGATTTCGAGATTTTAGATCTGATCTTGAAGTCTGTCAGGTTTTGAAGCCTCCCAGCGCCCAGCACGGCCACAGACGAACATCGCCGAGCGATAGGTCACTGCGTCTGCTGTGAGGCTGGAGGCGTGGATGCGGTCAACCAGGCCCCTTAGAAGGGTTGACGGCTTGCGGTTTAAGGGTTTCAGGACTGGGATAGGATCCTAGAATAAAGTAAGCCCTATGGTAACTACCCATGTAGACCCTGATGCTCCCGGAGAGCCCAATACCCCGTAATTAAGGAAAGCTTGCTTAAATTATAGGGGCCTAAATATTATGATTTAAAGTAATATATTCTTTAATTAAGGGTATTGGGCTCCCAGGGCTTAAGAATCCTCCACGGCGCAGGGCCCTCTGCCAGGCAAGGGCCTTGCCATAGGCGCTGATGGCGGCGTTGTAGATCTCCACGTCCAGGCGCGTGCACCGTTCGGCCTGGAAGAGGGTCTAGGGAGTTTAGGGAGCTCAGAGCTTAGGATGGTTTAGGGTTGATGGTTTAGGGGCTTGGGATTTAGGGTTTAGGGCTTTAGGGTTTTAGGGTTTAGGGTTTTAGGGTTTAGGGTTTTAGGGTTTTAGGGTTTAGGGTCAGAGAGGAGCGGCGTGTAAAAGGGAGCTTTACTGGACCTTCAGAGATTCAGGGGAGATTAGGAAGTTGGGAAATAGGGATTAAAGGTTTCGGTTTGGGGATTTAGGGGCTCGGGGCCTAGGCACCGCAAGGGTTGCTATGAGGACACCCATGCCAGAAGTTCATCGAAGTCGCTAAGGAGCCCTCGCTGCTTGTCTGTGCGCGGATTCGTGGCAGACGGGGATCTCGAACCTACATAACCCTTTGCCCTCAACCCCACACCCTAATAGCTAAACCCTAAACCCTAGACCCTAAACCCTAAAAGGCTCTTTTGCCCAGAACTCCGAACCCTTCATCCTTACACACCGAAGCTTCGATACTTGGCTCGCGAAGCCTCGCAAAAGCCCGAAGCCAAGAGCGAAATCTGACCCCTAAAACCCTGAGGTCTTAGAAACCCAAAGACCCCAAAACCCTACAATCCCAAAAACCTAAACCGCAAAGCCCGACAAACCCTTAGGCCTTAAACTTGACGCCCATATGCGAACCCCCTAAAGGAACCCCAACGCCCTGGCCTGCGCGAGGAGCAGCTCTGCCTTCTGCCAGTTCCCCGCCTTATCCTCGGCTTTAGAAGCTGTTTGCATTCCGGGGGTTTTTGGTCGGTTACTGTAGGGGGCCTTAAGAATTAGAATAGGGTTTTAGGCTCCTTTATAGAAAATTTATAATAAGGAACCCTACTAGTAATGTTGGCAATTATTTAGGCTTCTGTCCTACGGTTTAGGGGGAATGGGGGAATTAGAAGGTTCGGGGGCTTAGGGCTGATAGTTTAAGGTTTGGGGCCTTGTCTTTGGAGGTTTGTTGGTTTAGGGGTTTTAGGGTGTTTAGGGGTTTAGGGTTTAGGGGTTTTAGAGGTTTAGGGGTTTAGGGGTTGAGGGTTTAGGGGTTTAGGTTTTAGGGGTTTCAGGGTTTAGGGGTTTAGGGTTTAGGGGTTTAGGGTTTGGGGTTTAGGGTTTAGGGTTTAGGGGTTGGGGCGGCTTAGGATCTAACCCAGCAGAACTCGGCAAGGAGGGATCCGACCCAACATCTGAGTTTCCCCAACAATGATTGGGCAAAACTTCTGTGAGGTGCAGAAGGACCCTTTTCGTCTGGGAACCTCACAACAAGTCCCGACATTGATTCTGTGTCCTCCCTTGGTGTACTCAGGATTCCGATATGGGTAGTTCTCTAAATTAGAGTTCCTTTTGGGGGTCCTTTTTTATAAGGGATATTGGGGACCTAAAAAGGGACCCTGATTTAGAGAACTACCCATATCATGAGAATCAGAGTAATCATGACAATAACAACAGTACCCATAAGGTCCGACGATCTTGGAGATTGCAGTTCCCGAATGCAACAAAAAGCAACATAAAGAAGCCCTGATGTAGCAAGTCGCAATGTAACAGAAATCATACTGGAAAGACAAGATGTAAGAGCCTGAGTACGCCTGTTCCTCGCGCAAGGGGCTTCTTGATTCGAACCCTAGATTTCGAAACAGTTTAGGCCCAGGCTTTCTTGTAACATCCTTTAAAAAGCCGTGTATGAGCTCACAAAGCAGACTCCGCTGTTGCAGCCGAAGGTCACAGGCCGCGAGTGCCGCGCAGAAGGTCACCACGTCGCGAGGGATCGTGCGGCTCACCATGTCCTGCAGGACTTTCTAGGGCAAGTAAGGGAAGTTTGATCTCGAGGCGTTAATGAAATAGATAACAGTGTTTGGGGCGATTTGTAGTATACTTATGCAGGGACTATAGCGCGATACGACGTCCATTTGTGGGCTTTATGGCTTTGCCGCTGTGGGAGACCGAGCTGTTTGCCCTCTCCCCCCGCCCAGTTGCTACTCGTCGCGGCCTGTCGGCACCTTGCTGCCTGTTCGCGCGTCGCTCCAGTATCCGGAGGTTTCTCTCGCTTGTCTCACTTCGTTTCACCCTTTGGTCATGGCGACCTATAGCACCCCTTTTCTGGCCCCAGCTGTGGGGTTCAGAGGCACAGGGGGTATCTACACGGTGTCTCCTTGCTCCTGGACCCCGCCCCAAAGCCTTCCACAAAACCCTGCGGCTTATAAGTCATGAACCCCTAAAGCCCCAAAAAAGCCCCTCGGAACCGCCAAAGCCCTAAAACCCAAAGCTCCGGAGTCTGCTTCACTATGCCTCTGCACAAGGCCACGAGCCCAAACCTCTCAAACCCCCCAGAACCCAAAGATGAATCTTACGCTCTAAAAAGCGGAAACATGAAAAACCAAAAACCTGGGAGAACAGCAAAGTCTACTCTTTGACATTGGCTCCCCTCTTAACAAAGGCATGAAAGCTCTTGCCTCGAATAGCGACAGGGCATTCCGCCAGTGCTGCCCCCGGCCGTACCTTCTTGGGCTTTAAACCCTAAACCCTAAAGCTTAAAACCTTAAACCCCAGGCTTCCACGGTTGTTGGGTGTAGGGCCGATTGTTTGCGACTTAGAGCCTTGGCTTCGCTTTGGAGTTTCGAGTTTAGGCTTTGGGCTGTGAGTTTGCCTCATCCACTCCTGGGCATTCCCGTGCTTTCTCAGGCTTCATATTCTAACACAACCCAGAGGGTTGCGGCTGTTGTGGAGGGTCTTCAAAAACACTCAGACCCTGACCCTACAAAGCCTAAAACCCCTAGAGACTGCGCTTCTGTGAGCGGCTTCTGGGGCATCAGCAGGAATTGGCGGGGTCGGGTTGGCCGGGTAGGAAAACACAACAGCAGACACATTGGACCCCCTCAAACTCAAAACCCTCAACGTTCTAGACCCTAAACCCTAGACCCTAAGCCTAAACCCTAACCCCTAAAACCCTATAGACCCTAAACCCTACAGAACCCTATAGAACCCTATAGAACCCTACAGAACCCTATAGAACCCTATAGAACCCTATAGAACCCTAAAACCCCTAAGCCCAAGCTGCGCAGTGATCGCTGCGTTGTAGAGCCGCGCCGTGCCCCGCTGGGCTTTCTGCGCCACCCAAAAGACCTGGCCGGGGAGCTCAGAGAGCCCAATCTACCCCCTTAGTTAAAGAATGTACCCTTAAAAGGGTTCCTTTAAAGGGGATCTATAAGGGTTTCTATAAGGGAATTAGGGAATATATACCCTAAATTATAGGGGCCTTAATATTATGATTTAAGGTATATATTCCTTAATTGGGGGGTCTTGGGCTCTCTGGCGAGCGCCGAGGAGTTGCCTTTTTGGGTTTGGTTCTAAAGGGGTTTAGGGCCTAGGCTTTAGGGTTTAGGGTTTGGGGGTTTGCGGTTTAGGGTTTAGGAGTTTGGGGTTAAGAGTTTAGCCCCTGCGCAGTAACAGTTTAGAATAGGGCTACGTAGCATGAAAGGCCTTATAATTCAACTGTTACTGAGTGAGGGCAGTATCTACCCTTGGGTTTCAAAGGTTGGACAGAGTTCTCTGAACCCTAAACCCTAAGTTCTGAAAAAGGGAGCTGAATATTTACAAACGAAGGTCTTAGGTGGCCTTTTTCAACCACAACGAGGTGGGGACTACATGGGACTATTATTCATTACCGGCGTTGGTACATGAATTATGCCTTGGGCTAGATTACAGCATCATGCATGCAAGCATACCAGGACTTGGAGGGCTCAATCCATAGATCCTTAAACCCTAAACCCCAAACCCCAAACCCCAAACCCTAAGCCCTAAACCCCAAGCCCTAAGCCCTAAACCCTAAACCCTAAACCCTAAACCGAGTAGGAACCAGGGAGTTCTTGAGGTCCTTCTACTCAGATCCTCCTCGCCGGCCCAATCTGCAGGAAAGCACTACTCCCCGGATAAGACTCCTTCATGGAAAGACTTTCTACTGGTGATAAAAAAAATATCCTGCATTACCTTAAGGACCCCAAAAACTATGGGACTCAACAGAACCTGCCGAAAAATCATCAAAACCCTTACACGCCCTCTCGCAACCCCCCATGAAACCCCCCAAGAAACAACCCTGCAAAGGGCAAGACACTGCTAAGCCTCTATTGCCCTTAACACCCGAGAGCCCCCTGAAACCACAAAGCTCCATTTTTCCAACATGGAGACTTTCTACTGGTGATGATATAACATCCTGCATTACCTTAAGGACCCCAAAACTATGGGAATTTGGGTGCATACTCCTTATTATGGGTGGTGCAGGATTTATACCATCA